GGGGGGGGGGTGTCTCTAAGTTTAAGAGTGAGAGATAGGATGTGGGCCGTTGGATCTAATGATCAATGACTCTGATAATTTAGGAATTAAAGAAATAAAACTGTAAAAAGCTACGGCCGTTGGATGGTTGGATTTGGACGGCTGAGATTGAGTCTGGGAGAAGGGTATTTAAATTAAAAGAGAAACTAGAGAATAAGCGTGAACCGTTGATCAGATGGATCAATGGCTCAGATATGGGTGTGTTTGTTCTATGAGTTGAGAGTGAGGGTGACATGGCATGTTGCGATTGCTGCAGATGGTGTGGCATGGACTGCCAAAGTGGAGAGATGGAGGCTGTTTGGGTTCGGTAATTCCAGACTGGGCCTTGTATTTGGGCTAAAAATTATTTAAAAGATAGCCACTTTGCATTGGATTCAAGAATTACAATTGTGGCCTTTTGGTCTTTAATCCCTTTTGAAATTAAGTTAAATAAACTTAATAATTTTCAATAAAATATAATGAAAATTATATTTATTAAATACTACTAATTATTGTAATTAATTAATTATTTGTGAAAATACTTCACTAGGACATTAATTTTGAATTATTGAAATAGTACACTAATTAACTATTTTAAGAAGTAATTTATTGAATTAATTATAGAACTTACATATAGAAATTATTTTAATAATCCTAAAATAGTAAATATAATTTATAATTACATAATACTAATACCAAATGATTAATTTTGAAACTAATACTGAACTAATTTGTAGAAATAGGTATTCATTACTGGAAAATATTTTGAAAATATTTATTGTAAATTATTAAGTATAAGTAAATTAATTTTAAAAGGGAGTCAAAATTGGCCGTCAACAGCTGCCCCCTTTTGACCGGAGACGATGAAAGAGTTTTCGTGCAAAGAAATTGAACCAAAGCCAATTTTAGACAGGTATTGCAGGAAATGGAGATGGTGTATTTGTTGGATTGAATTGAGGAAGAATCTAGAAAGATTCGGGAGTATCGGGCCAAATTCTGGCTTTGAGTTGCTTCCATACCTCAGGCTTAACAAGGATCAGGCTATCCCCAAAGCGTTGTAGTTCGGTCTGAGCTGGAATCTTAGGACCACTACTGAGTTGGCTATCCCCATAGCGTTGTTGTTCAGTCTGCTACTAAGAAACATTCCACGCTGCGGTGTTTGTTCCTACAAAAAAATGAAATACACGTATACCAATATATTGTAGTGTAGAATATATTAAGATGCGATTAAATGATGCAGGAATGATGATGCCTGGCTACCGGCGAGCCATTATCTGGGATTGAGATGATGGGATACTTGATCCTGATTCGATTTGTTAGCCGGGCTGTGTACCGTTCTGCAGTTGTCGGAGTATTTGAATATTGTCTCCGATTGTTGGGAGAGCTTGATTGGTAAAGTGCGTCTCCGCTTGTTGGGAGAGCTTAATTTGTAAAGTGTGTCTCTGCTTGTTGGGAGAGCTTTGCACTGAAATGTAAAGTATACTTCACTCGGGAGTGATTTATAAAAATCGTAATCATGCCTAAAGTTGCACGAACAAAACATTTAAACATTCAAAGTAATAGCAAAATTAAATATAAGCATGCCCAAGAGATACTCTTGACTGCGAAGCTAGGTTGCGGCCATCGATTGGCAGAGCGTTGATGACGAGGTTGCGGCCATCGATCGTCAGCTATCTGATTCCGAGGCACCTGCAGAGGAGTCAAGAGATAGCTTTAGCTGTATTTAAAATATTAAGTAAAAATGAGGAGAGATAATCTTAGGCAAGTAGCGGATTTGTCATTTTTCCTAGTGTGGTCCCAACGATTCCTTATTCCTTATTGACCCTGGACTCAAAGAAAAGTTCTTAGTGGGGAGGGGGGGTGAAGTCTGTTTGTGTCGACCATGATGTTGGTTTGCCCTAGCCTTTGATATGATTGTGCCACGAAGTTCGGTAGATGGAAGAAATTACTATATACATATATATGTATATGTGTTTTAGAAAACATTTTGAAAATACTTGTTTCTTTTAAGGCAAATGTGGTCGTTCCGGATTATGACATGTTATGAAAGGTTCTCCACACGCGAACATATTCCTTTGAGAAATTCGTCCTGTTGATGTTGATATTTCGTGTTGTCACTCATAATGCAGTTACTTGCTATTGCGACTGCGTCCTAATTATAACTATTGCATTACAAAGGTATTCCTAAGGTTATGACCGAACTCTTTCAGGTTGCCTACGTAACCAAAACAGAATCAGGTCTGAACGTAGTTCGATTACAACAGATGCAAAATGATGAGACTAAGAATGAAAATAACCGAGTCTGACTCAGACAGCCTACGTATCCAAGTGGAAGCAGGCCAAAATGTAGTTCAATTTCAAAAGACGACTGAATCTGTTGAGGATTGCCTACGTATTCCTTTCTGAGGAAATCAAGTCGGCATAGTTCCTGAGCAACATACAAAAGTGATATTTCATTTTTCTATTACAAGATGGGGGGGGGGGAGAAACCGAACCCTACGTGGGTTGCCCATGTATCCCTCCGTGAGAAGTTAGATTGAACGTAGTTCTATTACATAAAAAACCCTAACTCTATTTTTCTTCAGGCATAGTATCTCTTGATTGTGTCTGAGTTGACAATAGTGTGCTGACTCTTCCATCCATTTCTGCCAGGATCAGAGCTCCACCAAACAGTGCTCGGTGAACCACGTAAGGACCTTTCCAATTTGGTGCAAGGGCTTCTTCTTGATGGGGAAAGATTTTCTTTAGAACCAACTGCCCCGATGTGAATTGGCGAGGCTTCACTCTTTTGTTAAATGCACTGTCCATCCTATTCTGATATAGCTGTCCATGGCATACTGCATCTATTTTTTTCTCGTCAATGAGCATGAGTTGTTCCTGCCTGACCTGTATCCATTCTGCGTTGTCCAATTTTGCCTATTGAATGACTCTTAATGACGGTATCTCGACCTCTGCGGGTATCACCGCTTCAGTGCGGTATACCAACATGTATACCGTTGCCCCAGTAGACGTTCTCATGGTAGTCCGATAACCTAATAAAGTGAAGGGTAGCTTCTCGTGCCATTGTCTGTGATTATCCACTATCTTTCGCAGAATCCTCTTGATATTCTTGTTGGCTGCCTCGACTGCCCCATTCATTTTCGGTTTATAGGCTGTGGAATTGTGGTGGACTATTCAGATTTCTTTGAAGAGGTCGCTATTGAGGTTAGCGGCATTGTTAGTGATGATGGACTCCGGTATTACAAATCTACAGACGATGTTGTTTCAGACAAAATCTGGCACTACCTTCTTTGTGACAGCCTTGTAAGTAGATGCCTCAACCTATTTGGTAAAATAGTCGATAGCTACAAAAACGAAACGATGTCCGTTTGATGTTGCAGGCTCTATGGGTCCTATCACGTCCACGCCCTAGGCGGCGAACGGCCAGGGTGAAACCATTACATTTAACTCATTTGGTGGACACAGAAGAAATCTTCATGAATCTGGCACTGGTGACAGTTCTACACGTATCGGATATTGTCGCTTTCTATAGTCATCCAAAAGTATCCAACTCTCAGAATTTTCTTGGCTAATGTGAACTCGTTCATGTGGGGTGCGCATGTCCCTACATGTATTTCTTCCAGTAGTGTGGTTGCTTCAGCGTCGTCTACACGTCTCAGCAAACCCAAGTTGGGGTCCTTCTGTATAAGATTTCCCCGTTGAGGAAAACATGGTTGGCTAACCTCCTGAGGGCTCACTTTTGACCATTAGTAGCATCTCTGGGTATTCCTGGGTCGAAAGGAATTTCTTGATGTCGTGATACCATGATTTACCATTTGGTTCTTCATTCACATGGAAGCAATATGCATGTTGATCCCTGATCTCTACCTCAATAGGGTCGATGTAGTTCTTGTGTGGATGCTGAATCATAGATGATTGGGTTGCAAGGGCATCGGCGAACTCGTTATGAATTCTGGGGACGTGTTTGAACTCAATCTTTGTGAACTTCTTGCACAATTCCTTCACGCAGTGCATGTACGACAGTATCTTGACATTCTTGGTAGACCATTCTTCTTGGACTTGGTGTACCAGCAAATTAAAATCTCCTATGACCAAAAGCTCTTTGATGTTCATGTCGACTGCTATTCTGATTCCAAGGATGCACGCTTGGTATTTAGCCATATTATTGGTACAAGGAAATCTTGTCTTTGCCGATGCTGGTTAGTGTTGTCCAGAATCTGAAATCAGGACTGCCTCAATCTCGACTCCTTTGAAGTTTGTTGTTCCATCAAAAAATATTCTCTACCCAGGGTATGATTCTGCAATATCCTCCCCAGCAAATAGTACTTCTTTATTGGGGAAATACGTGGTAAGCAGTTCGTAATCTCCAGCCACTAGATACTCGGTGAGGTGGTCGGCTAAAGCTTCCCCTTTGATAGCCTTCTGAGTTCTGTACACAATGTCAAATTCACTGAGGAGAATTTTCCATTTAGCTAGATTTCCGGTAGGCATTGGCTTCTGAAAAATGTATTTGAGTGGGTCGAGCTGCGATATCAGATGCGTAGTGTATTCCGAGATATAATTCCTTAGATTCTGAGCAATCCAAGTCAGAGCACAACAATTGCGTTCTATCAGGGTATACTTGGCTTTGCATGGTGTGAACGTCTTGCTTAAGTAGTAGATGGCTTGCTCATTTCTCCCAGTTTCGTCATGCTGCCCCAACACGTAGCCGGAGGCATTGTCCAAGACTGACAAATAGAGAAATAATGGTTTCTTTGGTTCGGAGGGGACCAGCACTGGCGGGTTTGAAAGATACTCTTTGATTCTGTCGAAGGCTTTCTGTTACTCCTCTGTCCGTTTCGAGGCAGCATCCTTCTTTAGTAGCTTGAAAATGGATTCACAAATTACCATGGACTAGGCTATGAACAAACTGATGTAATTCAATCTTCCCAAGAGACTCACGATATCTTTCTTGCTTTTTGGTGGCAGTAAATCTTGGATGGCCTTGACTTTTGAGGGATCCAGTTTTATCCCCTCCCACTTGCCTTTGGAGAGCTTACGCCACTCACGCTCGGAGTAGGTGAGTTGCGTGCATATGCCTTCGATCCACTCCTTCCAATGTGGGACTGCATTGGGGACTCGGGGGACGGCTGCACATCGGATGGGACATATCATGAGCGGAAAAAATAAATGCAAGAAAAAAATATTAACAGCGTAAGAGGAAGTAAACTTAAGATTCGGGTTCCATTTCTCATGGAACGACATGAGTTCAGGAGGAATGAGATCCTCGATCCTTATACGAAAACCTCGATTCATGTCCTCATCTATACAGGAGAAGGGAGCCTTATTTTCCCGACGGGCAAGTTTTATCAACCCCAATTTGAAAGATTCAGGGGTTGTATACTCAGAGCAAGAGATCGACTGTGAATCGTGGCTCCTTCATGTTGTTTGCAAAATGGCAGAGAAGATTTACGATCCTCCAAAAGGATGGTGAACTTGCCTGAGGCAAATTTCCTACCTCTTATAGAACTCGAGGACCACCGCATCAACAGGACCAAACGTGAAAGGATACGTGTAAACACTTAAGTATCCTTCCACATGTGTCGTGATGTCCTTGTCGGGACTGGGAACGACTATATCCTTACCTTCCCATTTACAAACCTCTCGGATAGCTTTGAGCATCTCCTCGGTAATGGAGCAAACATACCTCCACGATTCCTTTCCTCGATCTCCTTGTGCGGAGACTTTCTCGACTTTGAAGTTGTTATCTATGGAGCAGCCTCCGCGGATGAAATCTATAAGGGGAGATCCCGGGGCTACTACCAGAGGCACTGTCTCAGTGTCGGTGGCCGAGGAAGAAGTCATCAGTGCAGTGTTTTGAGCTACCGATTTTGAGGTCTTCTCCATTTCTATTTGAGTATATGAAGATTTAAAGTCTTGATATGAAGATTTGGTATGAAGGTTTAAAGGTAAGGTATGAAGGTTTGATGATGAACTATAAGGATATGAGGATATGAAGATATGAAGAACAAGTTATGAAGATTTGAAGGATTGATGAACGGATGAAGATATAAAAAATCGAGGGTAACTTAAGGAAATTTGAAGTCAGAAAGTAAAAAAGTGAAAACAGGAAACGAGAACTTTTATAGGGAAAGAGAAATAATTGTGAGATGTTTCGAATCCGGTAACTACCGGTGGTTTTCAACCGACGACTGGCGCATGTTCAAAATCAGAGCGACGTGGCTGATGGGATGTTTCGATTCGTTAGCTTGCTCATGATGTACGAGATAAGGAATCGGGGTCAGTTAGTCACTTCCCATTGCTCCTATAATCTACTCTCCGAGAAGTGAAGGGACTATCTGTATACGAGTAAAATCGGGGATAGAGTTAGCCCGATTTCCCATTGTGAAGCGAGGAACGACGTTACTCATTATTGGCTCGAGTGAGACCGAACGTGCCCACAGATCAGAACTAGGAGCGGACGAATGATACATCGGGTATCGAGTATGGCCGAACCCGGAGAGAATCCAGCTCGAGCAATATGAGAATCGAGGGTAACAAAAAGATGGTTAAAGAAGACAAATGGAGAGCCGAAATATTCGCCATCAGCCAGATATTACTGTGCGGATCACGCTCAGTATTGACTGCGGATCACATTCTCGTGGGAGAAAAGGAAGAAAAATATTTTTACCTTATTTAGACTTGTATTAGGATTAAAACTCCTCTACTATATGAAGAGGACGAACCCTTTATTTTTTACACTGTTATTGGCACACGTATCAAGGCAATAAAACTTACTTTGGCTTTCAGCAGTTAAGTGTTCTTCGGCTATTCACTCAGTTAGTTGGATCCGAGCTCTATCTCGAGGGCTCGATTGAAACCGACCGTTCGCATTTAAGCCTAACATAGGGCTTAATTACTTTGCCACATTGGTTTGATCGTTTTATCTCATTTCAATTCAATTATTTATTGTTCTTTGATCATTTGTATTAAATCAAACCATATATCTTTTAAACAACGTATAAATTTAATTGTTATCCATTTTAAGGGTAAACACTATTAAATTGCAATTTGAATCCCTACTATATGATCTTGTAATCCCTTAATTTTGAGAAGTTTAAGATTTCGATTCCTAACTAGAAAATTTGAATTAATTCACGTATATCATCAGTGAAAAATTTATATGTTCACTATAATCTTAAAGTTACTAAATATTCTTTTACTAAATAGTTTTAGTGTACGTACATTGCACGTGTGCATCGCGTTAATCAATATAAAACTTATACAAATTATTGAAATATAGCAATGGAATTTAAACTAAGCACATCATGTGTTTAAATGATTAAAATAAATACTATTACATTGACACAATATAGTTGAATTCGATATTTTCTGAATAAATTTAGTATAATTAGTTTTATAGTATTTATAGTTATAAATATTTTATTATATAAGATACAAATATGCTATGTTACTGTATCTTACCTGGCATCTTTTTATAAGCTCTGTGTCCATATATCATTATATAAGATTCAAAGTTAATAAAAATTATAGATAAGCTAAGTTGACTTCTTTTTGTGTAAAAAAGTTGCCTAGATTCTTATTGATCTAAGTCTAAAATTCCTTCTTTGCACGTTCATCTAACACCACATAAAAGTTAATACTATCCTAAACTCACTCCAAATAAACTCTGCTAATAACGACTTTGAAATTTCAAGAGTGCACCACGTTGAGGTCAATTTTGCAAAATTATAGGGGAAAAATTACAGATTTATAGTTATTTCAAGAGTTTCAAATACATTAATTTATCTTAAATTTAAAAAACTAACTATAGTTACAATTTCACATAGTATGGTTGTAGCTTAATTTATTTTGTAAAGTAACGTCATAGTTGTTCTAGAAATTTAAACATAAGATTAAATCAAAACTCTCAAAACGTTAACAGGGAAAAAGTGAACAATATGCATTGATGATGGATGATCCATATTTTTAGGTAATCAATTATGAGTAACTTGTGGGAAAAAAATAATACTATATACTTTAGAGGCTAAGAATAAAAAGAATTTTAATGTTCACATATTAAACTCCAAAAAGAAACTTATAAAATCTTGTCAAATAAGGTAAATTTTAACTGTTTTAATTGAATTTGAAGTCCTAAATATTAGAATTTTCTTAAATTAAATTTTAGTTAATTTTGAAGTCCTGAATATTCGAAAAATAATTAAATGACTATTTTGTCTAGTGTGAAATCAACTTTTAAAGGGTAAAAAAAGGCGAATGACATTTCGATAGGGCCTTCATGCTTTAATATAGAATAAATTAAAGTAATTGAATAATAGTGCAATCACAAAAATTTACTTAATGAAATGATCAAGTCACCATAATTAGTATGTTTTTCATTATAGAAGGTAAAGTTTAGTGATGTAATATTATAGTGAGTAAAATTCAATTACTGTGATGTGACAAAAAAATCGTGTTGTCCTTACTATTATATATAGTGGGAATAGTTTGGGACTTTATTATATAGTGAATAAAGTTCAGTTTCATTAATTTTAATTTCAAAAATAGTTTTTTCTTGAATTAGCACAAGAAGATTCCCTTTTCTCTCTTCATTTATTTTTGGTTTGCTTTCTTATTCTAATAATAGTGTTATTTTCTTGGAGCATATGGACTAATGGAGAAGTCCACTATCTCAGAGCATTCCCTAAATCCTAATCCAACACTTCCTAAATCAAAGGGAAGATAAATCATAATCCCTTTTTCCTCTTTAACAAAACTTTGTTTCTTGTGGGAAACAAACACATTGCATGATGAAAAATCAAATAATCGGTATTTTTTACTCTTCTTACCTAATTAAACAAGTACTTCTTTATACCGTCAAACCTCTCTAGAACAGACTCATTTATTCAGAATATTTTTAAATATTATAGCAAAGTGTTAGGTCAAACCTCTCTAGAACAGACTCGTTTATTCCGAATATTTTTAAATATTATAGCAAAGTGTTATTATAGAGAACATATAATATAACATAACTAATTTTATTCCATTAGTCTAGTGCCTGAGAACAGTCCAATTTTCTAACATTCAAAACTGTGGATGAACCCAAGGTTTCTAGTGTTCAAATTAAGACTTACAGGACAAAATAAAAATAGAAAAATCAGAAATTTCATGTGAGCCACTAT